TCATAGGTTATCCTTTTTGCTACGAGATGTCTTTGTTAGTGAGAAAGTCATGTCCTCTGTTGTTTGCTTTTGAATGCTCATGTGTTTGGAGCTTTTTTGAGATTTGCGGTTAGCTTGAGTAACATTTTTGGGTCGCTCCTAATTATGCTTACTAATTGTATCAGTTTGTACTTGTTGTAAGTGTAGGAGAACCCAATGGTGCAACACAAATATTCGAATCAACAGAAATTTTTCAAGACACACAAAAACCTTTCATTAACACCGATGTAGCACTGCTACAAGCAACTCTTGTTGCATGAAATTACACACTCTTACAGAGTTGGGATAAAACTCTTAACCTAGTCTACCCGTGAACGCACAACATCTTACAGACCAAGATTTGTGTTCTACACCAGTTCCTAATCTACCCAGACAAAACATAATGCATTTTTTCTCACACACTCTTTGTTCTTGAGTTCTTATGCACGCATACTCTCTCAATCTCTCTCCTGATTTTTTCAAGAAGAACTACTTACGAAAACCTCCTCAGGTAGTGACGTTATATTGGTTCCCCACTAACTAATATTTCTGAAGAGGCATGTTTCGGACCAGCGGACAATCCACTGTTCTTGTGCAGAGAAACACTGTTTCACCTATCACTTCACTTTGTGCAACGCGCCAACTTACGCTTTTTGCCTTTTGCATAAGGTCACTTCCTTGTTAGTTGAACCAACCTTCTGCACGATCTCTCCCACTTGCGTTCTCATGGTTCAAGACACACGTGACATTCACACGTGTGATGTTGATTTCACACGTGTGACGCTGACTTCAGCTTCGCTCATCTTCTGTGTAGCACATACATTCTTCCACCTTCTTTGATCTTCAGTTGCTATCTTTGATGTATCTACACTTTGGTGTTTAAACTGAATTTTAATAGCATATTGTTGCAAAAGTCAATTTAAACGGCTGCGCACACAGATTAGGTTCGCAGTTTTATTTTATGTGGACCCCACTGTTACTATGCGTGTACAGTTACTTACTTTTTATCGCTATAAATAGAGAGGTTTCGATTGATTTGTAAAACATAATTCAATACTTCAGAATACAAAAATCTCTCTCGATCTTCTTCATTATATTTTTCAGTGTACTATTTCCAGCGGGTATAAATTTTTTGTCTTTATCTTTATATACCGAAATGATAAATTCTCATTTTTTTTATAACACGTTATCAGCACGATCACTCTAAAATTTCAAATTTTATATGTATACTTGTTATACCCTATGGTGTGCGGACTACTGTCCCCA